GACACATACACATAATTTTTAATTTATTAGCTACTGATGTCTGGATGAACCATACTTCACATACATTTCTGATGACTCTATGACTACATAACCAAATTTGATCTGAGGGAGATTTGAGGGGAATTATTCCCTTGGTTTGACTGATATTAAAAATGTTTTTTTAATAGAAAATGGATATGTGTAAATATGTGAATAGCAAAGGTGTAGAATCTTCAGGATCTGCTTAGTGTTTATCCTCTGATCATATTTGCCTTTGTTCTCTTCAGCAGAAGCTCCACTGCTCAGCAGGAAGGGGTTGGGAGTCTGAGGTTCCCTTTCAAGGAAGCATCCTTCAAGTTCCACCTTTGTTCTTCTCCCATATTGGCCAGAAGTTTGTCACCTGACCATACTTTTGACAAAGGCAGCTGGGAAAATTAGCCTTTTTATTGGGAAATTACTATCCTCAATTACATTGAAATAGTGACTATATGATTACTTGTTTCAACTAACCTGTAAGAAAAATGTATCAATGGCAATGTCAAAAATGTTGAATTCCACATGGAATGTTAGCTTCTTGCATGTTACTTACATGTTGATATTCTACCTACAGACCCAAGTGACCCAGAAGTGAACGTGTGTTTGGGTCTTTTCAGTTCACAGTAGCAACACATTCCACTGTAGGAGTCTGTACAGGAAGATCGCCAGAAAATAGACCAACTCATAAGCAGTTCTATGTACTGTTAGAAAATGGGTGATAATGGCAGTCAGGTTCATTGCAGAGACAGTATAAGTTACAAACACATGGATCACAAAGAAAAGGTGAACCACAGCTGTGATGGAGGGTGGGTGTGCGTGTGTATATGCGTTGATGTATAAATGGGAAGCGGAAATTACCAGTTATTAGTAATGATGGGCTGAGAACAAACATGTCTTGGAAAATTGTAGTTGTCTGGGGGAATATTCATGGAAACAGAATAGAATGCCTAAAAATTTGTCATCTTTTGTGAGGAAAGATTTTGGAAAGGCCTTAACTCTTCATTCCAGGCCAGGTAGTATTTCAACTTCATGTAACCTCTTCCAGTTTAGTATTTATTAAATAGGTTACATTGGCATTTCTAGGCAAAGATTTTCAGGTTTCTTATAAATGTTTCTATTCATATTTTCATATATTTTCCCCAAAAATTATTAATACATTTTATGTGCAACATGTTTATGAATCTTAACTGTCACTGGTCTCATTTTTCATGGTAGAGCTTCAAATTCATCTTCTGAAATTTCTGTTTAATTAAAGAAATGTGTAGATAGAAAAGCTTATCAAAATCCTATAATTACAAGTTGTACCATTAAATTTGTAGGTTTCAAACTGATTATCAATGAACACATTTTGATTTTATTAGACACGAGCATTGTATTCAAACTATGATCCCAAATTTTAAAATCTTGGTTTATTATTCTATCTCAATAATCATTTTTTACACCTTGTCTGGATAAGAACAGTTACCTTCCCACCTTTAACCCATAGTTAATATTCTGTCTAGGCTATAGGGGATCAAACATTAATTGCAAAGCTTAAGTTGATTATATCTTCATTCTCACTTTATATACTCAGTGTTTATTCAAAATATATTAATTCCATTAAAGTAATTTTCTACTATTGTCTTACTTATTTTATTTGCATTACTGCCATGCCACTTAAGTCTTGGCTCCAAATAATCCTCAACTCATCTACTGCAATAATTCCATAATGGACTGTTGAACTTCTTTCTCTTTATTTTCCTCTATCCACTGCCATCAGATTGTTTAATTCCAAACTAGAAATACAGTTACTACACTCACATTTTTTAGCAATAGCATTGGTGGCCTATGATATGTTCAAAACTATGCCTAACCTCCTTAACCTACAAGCTATTCTAAGAGTTAGCTTTAGAGACTTGTGACACTTATCTTCCATTTTACTGCATTAGATTCCCACTGATTCTTACTAAATATTTTGGAACTCCATTTTTTTTTAACTTCACTCTGACTTTTTTGTGTTATTCTCCTTATGTTTCTAACTGGCCTACTTGTTTTTCAACTCAGTGTACATTGTAACATTTTTAACAGATCTATCTTCACTTCAGGGATGATTTATATTGTGTGCCAGCTTGACTGGGTTAAAGATACCCAGATAGCTGCTAAAACATTATTTCTGTATATGTCTGTGAGTGCATTTCTGGAAGAGATTAGCATTTTAATTAGTAGACTGAGTGAAGATGCTCTGGCCATAACTAATGTGGGTGAAAATTGTTCACTCCACTGAGGGCCCACCCACAAAGAACAAACAGAAAGAGATAGCATGACTTCTTTCCCTCTCTTCTGGAACTGGGGCATCCATATTTTACTACTTTTGAACATTAAATCTCTTGGTTCTCTGGACACTGGCTATCCTTTGAACTTCAATATATTTGCCAGAAGGGACCTGATTTTTCTATCTTTGGCCTTTGAACTGACAATCATACTATTAGCACCTCTGGGTCTTGAGCCTTCAGACTCAGTTGAATCACATCAGTGGCTTTCCCGGTTCTCCAGTTTGGAGATTTCTTGACCACTATAATCGTATGAGTTAATTCTTTTATTAATCTCCTTTTATTTCTTTATATGTCATACTTGTTTCGTTTCTCTGGAGAAGACTGATTAATACCACTTCTCTCTATCTCCTACCACATAATCTAAACTTATTTTTACTACTGGTAATAATTTTATTTATCTACAATCTATACCAGCTATATTGTACAGGGTTGTAGACATATCTGTATCTTAATTTTATAATATAAATATTAAATAAAGGATACAAGATACATTCATCTTTATGGCCTCCTTAACAGCTAACAATAATTTTGCAATAAAGATCGTATATACATAGGCAGGTATTGTGGTGGGCATCTATAGTCCAGCTATTTGAGAGGCTGAGGCAAGAGAATTGCTTAAGCGCAAGAGTTTGAGGTTGCTGTGAGCTGTGATGCTATAGCACTCTACTGAGGGTGACATAGTGAAACTCTGTCTCAAAAAAAAAAAGGACTGTATATACAAATTTTCCCAAGAAATAGAGATAAAGTTGATAATAATTACTACAGGAAGAATGAAAAAATAAGGTTGACCTAGAATGAAAATGTGCACATTCATTTACCTAACACCATTTAATTAATACTATTTTATGAGATTATCATATATCTACAGAAAAATAAATTATCCTTTCAAGAAATGTACAATTGGTTTTGCCCCAAATTATATTTTATGTATAGTATGTGTGTGTGTCCTTATCAGTATCAGTCTCACTCTGTTGCCTGGGTATAGTGTCCTATCAAGCAATCCTCTTGCCTCAGCCTGCTGTGCCATGGTGTCCAACTAGTTTTTCTTTTCTTTCTTTCCCCTTTTCTTTTTTCTTTTGAGTCAGAGTCTCATTTTGTCTTCCTTGGGAGAGTACCATGGCATCATAGCTCACAACCTCAAACTCCTGGACTTAAGTGATTCTCTTGCTTCAACCTCCCAAGTAACTGGTACTACAGGCACCCATCACAATTCCTGGCTATTTTTAGAGTCCAGGTCTCACTCAGGCTCAGACTGGTCTCAAACCTGTGAGCTCAAGCAATCCATCTATCTTAGTCTCCAAAGCTTTTCTATTTTTTGTTGTTGTTGTAGAGGTAGCATCTCACTCTTGCTCTGGCTGATCTTGAACTCTGGACCTGAAGAGTTCAATCACACGCACGTCCCAGATGAGCCAATTGGCCCAGCCAAAAAATGACAGAAATTTAAAAGGCAAGTAGTAGTGAATGATCACTTCCTCTTGAGGCCAAAGATGAAGCAAAGAAATATTCATAAAAATAGAAGACTTTAGCACTTGTGATAGTTTTGTCTAATGTGTGGGTAAAAAATGACAGGTGCAAAATATGAATCCTCTTTTGCAACCCAGAACTTATTGTGCAGTGTGACTTTTGATACATAGAAATAGAAATGTTAGAAAAATAATAGAACACTTGAGTTCAATATTGAAATTGAAGTACATTGTGCCAGTAAGAATCTACACTGTGGGTGGATGAACCAGCATGAACAGAGACTCTAAACTGCTTTATGGAATTATATTTTGAGCTAACTTATCCCTGAGACTGTATCACGTAGACTTAGGATTCAAGACACCAGCCAGAGTGATATTACTCTCCAGATTCTAAAATCAATGAAATTAGGATTAGTCACATGGTTTAAAACAATGGACTTATGTTTGTTTTTTACAAAGATGATTTTAATGTAAATGTGAAGAATCAAGTGAAGCAGTGTCCTATTAGAAGTGGAAAAGGCAATTAGACAGTTCTAGTAATACATTAATCAAGAAATACTGACCATGATCTAGCCACAAAGCAGTAGATAGAAAAACAAGAGAACAAGTTTCAGAGTCACTAAGAAAGTAAAAATATCAAGATCAGCCCATAAAGAAGATTTGAGCGTCTTGAGCATAGAAAGAAAAGTAGGTTTTAGTGTGTCTAAGATTTTTATTTGATAATATTTGGGTGCATAGTAATGTCTTTTTTTAGACTAGAGAAAAGGATCATTTTTATTATAGAAAATTTACATTTGATTTATATACTTGGAATAATGGAAATAAATAGTCTAGACTTTGGGAAAAGGCTTGTATTTTGTTTTGGCTTTTACTAAATGGGGAACTCTAAACAATTTAGCTTTACTTCTTATACACGCACTTACTATTTAAAGTATATACGTGGAAGATAAATGTGATAAAACTGATACAGGAATTGTACACACATGATACAGTATCTTACAAATAGTAGGCACTTCACAAATGACAGGTGATAAGGAAAAAAAATCAGTGCATTCATGGAAACATGGCAATTTTAGGTGCTGGTTTGAATTTAGAAACGATTTCTGTGTTATGTGGCACATAGTATCCTAAGGCGATGAATCTTCAGGATCTGGAAATCTTGACTGCTATATATCCAGACCTTTAGTGCCCCAGAAATTGTAAACATAAATGAAAGAAATATATGACTAAGTCATAAAAGGTGCTCTTGAAGTAGTTCAGTGTTCTGCACGAGGAAAAGGGACGACTTCAGCATCTTTTATTTATCCCAATATGAAAAGGAAAGAAACATTATTTTTCTTGATCTCATTTCTAAATTATCTTAACCTTCCAATTTTTTTCATTGAATTTTTAAATCCCATCTATCCCCACGTTCTAAAACCACTGAAGTGTCAGAAGTTGTGGGTTATTCTGATGATCAATTTAATTTTCTAAAGATCACTTGGATCAATATTAAGTGCAAACTATGCAGTGAATGTTTTCTCTCTCATTTAGTTCTTTCTGAGAACTTCCAATAGGCTGGCCTGCATGCTTTACATAAACTATCTCTTTCATCCGTTTAGAAACCTTGAATAGTACATATTATCTCCTTCCATTTATCAGACAGAAGACAAAAGATTAATATTTAAATAATTACCCAACACCATAAACATAGTAAGTGCTAGAAGCAAGATTTTAACATAGTTCAGTAAGTTACTAAAACTTACACTTCTTATATAGTTCAGATGATTCACTAAGTATATATATAATTCCTAATTAAATGGTAATGTTACATATATGATACAAAAGGAGGCTTATTTAAATTTCTATTCATGTATTTTCTTTAAAATAAGTTATTTAATATTCTTTATATTACAAAAACTATTAAGGTACCTAAAGGGCATAATTTACCACTGATTGAAATTCTATAATTTTACCTGTTAACTATTGCTTTATATGCTTCAAGGCAAATACTTCTCAATTAAGTTTGTCATTGGTCATGTGTTGGGAGTTAATTTCCTGGGAGGCAAGGTCCCCCAGTTTTGAGGAACCGCATCGGAGTCAAGGACCCAATGCAACCTGGACCCAGCGGTTTCCTGTTATGGCTGGTTCCTAAACCAGATTAAAATGGAGACCTGCCCTTTTGGTCATCTCAGACTGCTGAGAATGCTATTCTGCTCTTAGGCTGTTTTTAATCAAGTTATGCAATTATGACAAAATCATGCCTTCAAGCTACTGTATATAAAACTGTGCAATAAAGCTGAGGTTGCCTTTTCCTATTGAGGAAAGGTCCTCCTGATCCTGCTATTTTCTGTCTCTTTTTTCCATCCCGCGCCGGTCTACCTCCGGGTTTTCCTAATAACTTGGCTAGGCTGGTTCCTGGCAGTCATTAAATAATTAATATTTTTTCCATTAAAATAAGCTTTTGAAAAAATATTTTTCATATGTGAAATGACAATTAAGGTACAAGAAAAATTCCCAAGGAAAACAAGAGCATACCTCTGCATACCTGTTAAAATGGCCTGAATCCACAACACTGAGAACTCTAGGTAATGGCAAGTGTGTAGAGCACGTGGAGTCCTCACTCATTGCTGGTGGAAATACAAATGACGTGGGTACTTCAGAAGAAATTTTAGCAGTTTATTTTAAATGAATTTCTATCGTAAGATCCAGAAGTCATACTCCTCGGTATTTACTCAAATGATCAGAGGGCATATGTAGCCCCTAAGAGCTGCGCACAGATGTTTATAGCAATTTTATTCAAACTGATGAAACTGAAAAGCAACCAAGAAGTCCTTTGCAAGGGAAATACATAAATAAAATGTGGTACATCCAGACAGCAAAATGTTTACTGCTAACCAAAAATGAGTTATGTAAGCAGGAAAAGACATATAGAAAATGTAAATATTAATACAAGATTCTAAGTAAAAGAAGCCGATTTGTAAAGGCTGCATATTGTATGATTCCAACTTTATGACATCATGGAAAAGTCAACACTATGGTGAGATTAAAATGATCAGTGGTACAAGGGGTTTGGAAAGAGGCATGGTGGATAGGCAGAGCACAGAGCACTTATAAGGCAATGACAATAACCTATATGATACTTTAATGATGAATTAGTGTCAGTATAAATTCATCCAAACCTATAGAACATTCAACACCAAAAGCGAACTCTCACATAAATCATAGACTTTGGTGGTAACCATGTTAACTTATATTCAATTTTCCTATGAACCTAAAACTGATATAACAAATAAAATCTAACTTTTTAAAAAAGCCCTAAGAAATGTAATTATTTGAAAAGAATTCAACTTAATAGAGTCATCTGTTTGCATTTTAATTTTTTCTGTTAGCTATATTATCTTTGAAATATTACTTTAAAACTCTGAAGGACTTGTTAAACAGAACACATACTATTCCAGTTTCTATTCTCAGGCTTAGATACCCCTCAACTGCTGTCATCATGCCGTTAATTGAATGTTTGTGTGAAGATGACAGCATTTTCAACAGCAAGAGCAAAAACATTGTTCTCAACTCTTTGATTTTGGCCTCTTCTTTTTCTGAACATATCTAAATCTGGTCATAACTATCTTTCTCAGCGTCTATTAATCTTGGCTTTTAACTTTGTAGCTGGCAACTTCACTGTGGTCTGTCACTGCTTGTCACTCTACTGTAATATGTTTATCTTCAATAACATCAAAAAGTGTAGCAGTCTCTCTAGCATCAAGAGTAAGTGATTTTTTAAAATATAGTTATAAAGAAAAATGAACATGGAAAATTAACTCCACAAAATGGAGTCCTCCTGATATATATCCATCATTTCAAAAACCTGATAAGAAACAACCACAGTATAGCAGGGAAAGTCAAATTTATAAGAAGTGAGAATACACAAACAAAAATAATTTTGTAGATGATTCTGGGACATTGCAAAGTAGGAAAGACCAAAATAGTTCTCTGCATCTAGACGATTTTACTGGCAATATCTGTCTGATGTAACTATTTTGGAACTCTGGAGTCTATTGAAGGCTTCCAGCTTCCAGGGGAATGCTTGGACATAAGCTTCAGCTAATTTTGGCCAATTCAGCTGTTAGTTGGGCAGAAGCAACATATTCCCCATGCCCTATCCCCTTGGCAGGCAGCCATGCCCACAGTGGAGGGAAGGAGGAGAAAAATAAGAGATCTGTCCTCCAATTATCAGGATCTGTATTCTGACTGCAAATTGCTACTTCTAAGCAAGAGACAGGTGGCTATTACTGTAAGTTCACCCCACTCTTTCTGAAGGGAAGTCAGAAGATTTACAGGGCTGGTAACTATTGCTCACTTCAATTTCTTTACTTTTTCTTTCCACACATTAAAACTAAGACATTCAAGAGAAACCACATAAACTAAGGAAATTAGAAAGTCACCATACATCTCCTGGAAAGGGACTATAAATGATCTACAAAGACCTTAAGTTCATATCTAGTGTGATTTAAGGCAAACAAATATTCTAAAACTATTCTATGATATGGGAAACAAAATAAATAAAAATATATTAATAAATACAATTATCATAGTATATAATAATGCCTGAATAATAATATATAATAATAATATGTAAGGATATCTTTTAGTACCCAGGAATTATTCTCATTCTCTCTCTCTCTTTATCTCTCTCTTTCTCGCTCTCTCTCTGTTTTTATCCCTCTTGGCCTCTATCTTTCTCTCCTACAGGAATAAGATATATTCCTATTCTTTCAAGTCTAAGCATATGTTTCAACTTAAGTTTTATTAGAAACCCACATTGAGATAAAGGGCAATAAAACAGACATGACTACTACATATATATTCTTTTACATATGTACAGTTCTCTCTGCAGGCAAAGTGTTAACTCAGCAGGCTTAGATGGGCTCAAACCCTCCACAGCCTGATGGCACTTTTCAGGATTGGCCCTTGGCCAGCTCTTGGAAGATGTGCTCTGATCCCTTGGGATATTCTGCCCAATAGGAGTGTTTCGGTGTGTCTGAGGCCCTGGGCCCTTCAATATTGGTTTGATAAGAAATATTAAACTAATTAAACTATATATATATGTGTGTGTGTGTGTATTTTTATTGAGACAGAGTCTCATTTTGTCACCCTCGGTAGAGTGCCATGGTATCATACCTCACAGCAACCTCCAACTCTTGG